TGTTGTCTAAAAAATTTGATGTTCAAATCTTGTTTTGATTTCGGTTGATTTGTATTATATCTTTTAAATCTTTTAAATCTAAAAGACAATAATATAAATTTGTGCTTTCAGCAGAATTGAAATAAGTTCTTGATTCATTGCGTATCTTTAATTAGAATAATATTTCTGACTTAATTAAAGTAATGAGTAAGTACAGATATATTTTTTTTAAGTGATTAAGGGATTTGCAATCTTCCGCACACCCAATATAATTTGACAATCAAAACGAATGTGTCTTAATTTCGGAATTAGCAGACTATTAATTTTTAAACGAATAAATAAGGCCACTGATATATATATATATTTATCAGTTATATGTACAGTACATACGTACGTACGTAGATTTATGCATTCTTTTTCGCTTTTACGATTATCGCTTCTCTAATACAGATTCGTTTTCATAGCATAAATAATAATGTCTACGCCACGAATCTTAAACGATGATATAGGAGAAATGGTTGAAACAAGCGAAGTTATTGCAATCTAAAAAAAAATTATTAAATAAGTTTGATAAAAGAGTCATTCCTTTATTCATACTTTTTAATATCCTTAGTTTAATTAAATAATAAAAATACCGTTATGAATTTTTACTATTTCATGGTCAATATTTGAAATGCGAAATTTATCTTAATGTAACTAAAGATAAATTTAATTGGTCTTTAAGTATATTTTCTGTGTATATTAGTGCTTGGCACAATCAAACAAAAATTTGACAGTCAAATACTTGTTAATACTTATGTTTAAATCGGATGTCAACGATTGCAGATTAACCAAAGCTAAATATATATACTATTGGTTAATCTGCAATCATTTATGTCCGACTTAATCACAAGTATTAACAAGTATTTGACTGTCAAATTTTTGTTTGGTTGTGCCGAGCACTAGTGTATATATAATTTTTTTTTCATAATATAAATATATATAAATATATATATATTTAATTTTTTATAGAATAAATCTAACTATAACCAGTGGTATCTCAAAAACGTACTAAGTAAACAGGATCGGGTACTCTAAGTAAAAATGTTCAGGACTTTTGAAAACATCACAAGAATTGAAATTGGGACCTTAAAGCTGCACCTAACCCTAAATATATCTAGGGGTGGTGATGATCACCATGGGCTATTTTGATTATTTCTTTTTGATGTTTATAGCGGTTATGTAGTATTCGAGATTCCATCAAATATCATGCTACTCAAAATACGGTCTTCAATTTGGTGTTGGTTTTCTTTTCTTTTCTTTTTTTTTTCTTATAACTGTTGTCAGACCCGAAAATCGGCGAGTCTGTCGCTTGGACGAAAGTTGGGTCGTGTAACCAAAGGCTCGGTTAGGTTGGATCGAAAAAGGCGTGTTAGATTTGGCGAGTGGTTAGGCGCAATAGTGTGGGATATACAATATGCACTTAGGTAGTTTTATGAACGGGAGTATTTAAGCGAATAACGGCTTAGTAAATGTAAGGGTTTATTTTGTATGTGTTTTTAGGGACAGACTTGTATGGTTAATTTCTGATACTTTTATGATTGTATGATAATTAATAAAAGCATAGGCGGGAGTTATTCTTCCCAAGGCCAAAAGGGCCTTTATTTATAATTGTTAATTCATCTATTTACATTCGCAGGATCTTTTTAGATCTTTAAAATCATTAATAAAACCCGAATTGGCCCTATTGCCAGTATTATTAGGATTCTCTATATCACCGGAATTAGCCTTATTATCCAGATCCCTGCAATCGCTTAGATCGGGATTATCGGTGTAATCGAACCGATTAGAGATATCGCAAAAATCGTGCCAAAGAGACACTTCAAGAACATCACATGTGAAATCATGAATGGCGTCATTTGTTTACTAGCACTAAAAAAATTAGCCTAAATTATCCTATCACCTAACCCTAACACTAACACTAACTTAGGCCGAACACATAATCATGTGATGTGATAGTCACGAAAATATCACTGGGCTTGAAACTACCCATTTTTGGGGAGTTTAGATCACGAGGTCACGTGCCTGCTTCAGGTCACGTTTCCGGTTAACTTAAATATTGCTGTAATTTTTTTTTTTTATGTTGTAGTGTCAAAGCTCGTTTTAGGATGTAATAATAATGGCGTTAGCAAGTATTAAAAGTATTAATTGTATTTGGTTCTCCATATTTTAAATATATTTTAATAATTATTTTTAATCAAGGCAAAGAATTATTCATATTTATTAGTAACTAGCTTTTACTGGGAATGTTTGAAGCTGGGTTTTTTCTGGTATTTTGTCACACAATTTTCGGAGAGCCCTTGTATTTAGTAAAAGGGATGTAAATTTATAACAATGTATAACGAAGCGTAAAGTGTAAGGATGGAACAGAAATACTGTATTCGAACAGCTCACGTGATAATACGATCGACCAGAATTATGGGTGGCACTAGTAAGATTGGGCACACCCGTATCAATGTCGATTTATTAACGTTAAATGAAATTTAAGAGTTTAATAATATAAATAAATAGAATTTTTGAGTCATTTGTCTGGTAATAAAGTAAACTAAAGGATTTACGCGTAAAGGTTGTATAAGTGTGTGTGTGTCTTGTGCCAAGCGAGACTTTATTGTTTTGTAACCGTCTGAGCGAGATTACAGACACAACTATGATCTGTGATAGTATTTACATTACTAAGTGGTATAAAAGAACAGAGCAAAGGTTTCGAATCTCTTTAATTGTCACTGGAGTTGTAATTTATATCACAAGTTTGAATGGCCTACTTGAGTTAAACGGTTGGCGACGGATTGATGTAATTTTTATTTGGTTTGTAATTGTGCCTAAAGTTACCACCGCTCACCTGGAATTGCTACTAAAGTTATACCTGACTAATTAAAGCTCAAGATTGAATCTTATAATTTTAGTTGATTATAGCAGGAATTTCAGGAGGGATCATTACGACGCATTTGCGGTATTAAGGAAATTAAGCAGATATAATAGAAAGATGGGTGGGAAGATTGGTTAGATATTATGTTGCCATAAAACTGGGGTGAAAAAAAGTTTGGGATTTAAATTGACTTATTATCGGTAGTTAAATTTTGTAATGTGCAACTTTAGGCACAAAAATAATTATAGAGACTTATTTTAATATAATATTTCCAAAAAAATTAGATATTTATGATTGATAGGTTGTCAAATGTTTTTGCTGCAATTTGCACCTTTTTTATAATTTCCGATTCGCCAGGAGAAAGCTTCTTGGCTTACAGAAGATGAGCAAAAGTTTGCTATTGATCGATTACAGCTGATGCTGGATGTACTTGCAAATATTTATTAAATGTTTATAGGCAATTTATTGATTATTTAATTACACTATTATTTAAAAAATCTACATAGCCACGCTTATTAGTATGCATATAATGATTTGTGCATATGCTTTTTCTACTATTATTCCATCGACTGCGAACGGTCTAGAATTTAATACTGGTAATATTAAAATTATATTTTTTATAATAATTTATTTTTAAATATAAATCATTCCTCTATTTTTTCTATACATTAATTTATTTATTAGTTAATTCCCAACTTTTTACCTTCCACATTTATTTGCATCAGTTATTATTAATCTTTTCTGTTAAGCACCGTATTCGTTGCCAATATTTGATATTTTTGGTTGTTTATTGCAACTATTGGATACGCACTGCTAATTGTGCAGAATGGTAGCACTGCTAGTATGTTTGATTTGTAAATTTTAATTTTACATTGTTTTATTTTTTTTCGACGTATTTACATATTAGAGACCAATTTCTTATACTTTAGTAAAATATTTTTGATGACTGTATTATGGACTGAATTATTCTATAACAGTATGGTAAGTTTATCTCCTATCTAATTTATTACCAATACTTACCTAATATTTATCTAATATTTATCATATAATCTTATTAATATCAATATAAAATATCATCTCACCTCCATATCCTTTCTAAAAAATTCGATTAATATATAGCAAACAATTGGCAGATGACTCCAAACGTGCCATAGGTTGTGTCTTTGAGTAATATAGATGGTGTAACATTTTCATTTATATATCGATCTCAAGATGCGCCTGCTTATAAATTTTTTCATACTATCTCATTATTACTTTTAACCTTTGAGATAGCTTTATCTATATTGAAATATAATTTATTGAACATTGTCAATAAATGTAAACTTAAAATCATAGTAAATTTTTGTAAGGAAAAAAATGAAGAGGAGGTCATGAATTTAGGAGACATGCATCCTTCATTCGTTTATAAATTGTAATATAGATTTATAAATTATACGTATTATTTATAAAGTGAAAGTTATAGAGTACAACTAGATATTGGACCAAATATCTTATAGAATTGTGAAAGACAAATTATAATTTTTTATTAAATTATTAAATTGCCAATTTTATTATTACTTAAAATGCATACTTGAAATTATATTTACATTATTATTAAACAAACTAAAAATTGGTAATACAGTATTTATTAAACCTATGTTTTGTAAACAAGATTATAAAACTTCAAAATTTTGTAATATATATTTAAAAAAATTATATTAGTTTTATATTTCAAGTAAACTACTTTATAAAGTGATTTCTTAAATTTGAAAATTTTCTATATATTATGATATCATATTTTTATAATATTACAACTAGTAATATTGATTCACATGTTTATGCATGTTTTCGAAAGTCTGTGGTTAAAGTTGAACAAAATCACATGCATTTTAAATTATTACGAAGAAAATAATTACTATATATTTTGGTACAGCTCATTTCTCGACAGTCATTTCCCTTAAAGGTAATTAATCCGACATCACATAGAGTTGAGATCAGCGTTTAATTAGATGCAGAGTTACAGATATATATAGTTAGTAAATTGGCACATGCGTGATGTCGAACAAATGGTAATAAACCGTCGAGGAAAATGAGATATTAATATTTCTTTCTCATTGCTGAAAATCTACCTTTCACAATGTCTGAATCAATAAAGTTAAAATCCGATAGCAACTTTGATGTAAAAATAATCGTAGGAAGTGAATCAAACATTAAAGAATTCAATGCACATTCAATAGTTTTACGTTCTTGCTCTCTTTATTTTCAAAGGGCTCTATCAGAACGATGGAAGAATCAAAAACATGGCGTTTATATTATTACAAAGCCAAATATTCATCCTAATATTTTTATGTTAATTCTTGAGTAAGTTTTATAATTTGATACATCTATTAATTTTATTAATTATAGTTGTTAAAGCATTTCTATTTCTTTGCTAATAAATTAATTTATAACATATTTAAGCTACATTTATGCAGGAAACAATATATTGCATACATCAGCTGAAGATTCTTTAAATATATTAGCTGCATCTGATGAGCTTGAACTTCTTGATCTTGCTGAATGTGCTCAAAAGCACTTAATTAGAAAGTTTACTCCATGGTTATTCTCTAATCTTATAATATCACTTAATATTGTTTGTCGACATAATCATTTTCATGATTTATACAATCGTGTTCTAAAATTTACTTTTAGAAATCCTTATTCCCTTTTTGATTCTGTCGAATTGTCTCTATTAGAAGAAGTAGCTATGATTTGTCTTTTAGAAAGTGATGATCTTGAACTTGAAGAAACAGAAATTTGGAATTATTTGATTAAATGGGGTATTTCTAAATTTCTTGATGATGATATCACAAATTGGTCTGATGAAAACATATTGAGCTGGTCTGAGGATCATTTCATAGCATTAAAAGAAACTATTTCTCGCTGCATTCCTTTAATTCGTTATCATTATATTCCTAAAGATTATATTAACAAACAAATTAAACTTTACCACTTGGACTCTAATGCATTTATTAAATCCAAAACCCCTCAAAGAAGATGTTCTAGATTAATTACCAATGAATATAAAGCTATTATCTCAAGCTGGATTGATAAAAAGGAAAAAGATTACTATACTCGTATTACTGATCCTTATAAAATTAAGCTTTTATTACGTGGAAGCAGAGATGGATTTAATGTTGATACATTTCATAGATTATGTGACTTTCAAGGCCCAACTATCGTAGTACTTAAAACTATCCAAGGTGATTTGATAGGTGGATATAACCCTATGAACTGGAATAGCTTTACTAAAAAAATTGATAAATTTAACAAAAATAGTTTTATTCAATTAGCGAATTCTAATGAATTTCTTAGTAAAACTCTCTCATTTATTTTTTCAAAAAAACCTTATTTTTCAATAGAGAAGAAACCATATTTTAGTAAAACTTCAAATAGTTTCATTTTTTCATTTACCAATCAATCAAATCCAGTACTAAGTAGAATAATACCTAAAAGAATCAATGAGGCTATTTGGAATAGTGAATCATGTGGACCTTCCTTTGGACAATCAGATCTATGCATGAAAGATTCAAATTATTGGACTAGTAATTGGGAATTTTATGAAAATAAAATAACTAATTCACACCCGTTAATTGCTGAAGAATATGAAGTATTGGTATTTGATAGTTATAATCCAACGATGAATAATATATTTTTACAAATTTTGGAAACAACCAAAGTATTTGCACTTTATTGTATAATTATAGTTTTAAATTTTGTATTATTTACTTTTTGTTTACCGAAATATTTGTTTATATTTATTTGGTTATTTATTTGTGCATTAGTTCATCTATTTGTTTATACAACATTGGAACCTATATTGGGACTTATATTGGGACATATAGCAATCGCTATTTTTCTCTGCCTAGTCTTTATTATTATATCTAAAATACGAGAGTGGATGATTTAAAATTTTGATTGGTATCCGAAATAATCCGAAAAATGAGCAATAATTTAGTTGCCGAATGTTTGAGTTTCTATTATAACTTTAGCAGAATTCATTTTGCAAAGTTTGATTTTATCACGAACGGATCACGGATCACGGATGCAGCGAGACCAAATGCTCTTGGCGTGGAAGCTGGGGTTGCTATTTACTGTTGCGGAATGTGATTAAATCATATTCACCTGTATTTTAGGAACCTTGGTGCCCGGGTTGTTGATTTTCACATGTTGTTTCGAATCTGCGTTTAGTCTTCTTTTCGATTCGTTGATTGTACGTTGTGAGGGGCTCCCGTGACCCCCAAAGCCATTATTATTATTATTTTTTATTATTTTTCCTTACTATTTTTATACATTTGTATTAGTTATGTTATGTGTAGGCTTAGTAGAAGTAGACCCTATAGTAACTACGTATGTTTGAAAACCCATACCTGTTTTGGTAGGATCGAAGATCAAAAAGATCGCGAAAATTTAATAAATTTAATTTATTAAATTTATTAAATTTTCTTGATCTTTTCAACGAAGAAAACTTGTTGGCATATGAGAGATTAGTTGCTGAGCCATCAGAAGCCGTAGTAATGTAAAAACTATATAAAGCGATGTCTTTTCACGCTAATAAAAAACACTACTGAGTTCTAAAACTCTAAAACTTCGAAATCATTATAGTAGAAGTTGTTCCCTAAAAATCTTTGTCCCTTTGACATAAAATTTGTTCTTAAATAAATCGCTTATTTCCTTAACCAGAAATTTTCCTTAACCAGAAATTATAGTTAATATCAAAAGTCTTGAATCGAAAGAATTGAAATCGTATTACTTCCCTTATATAGTAAAATACTCGATCATCCCCGTGACCTCATTATTATCGGCATTAATCGAACAATAAGGCTGATCTAATTTCTCGTGACATACAAACCTCGTGACGTAACTGAGACCATCGTTAGGAATCTTAACGATCGCAGTCTAATATTAAATCGCCGATCACCGCTGATATAATTACCCGTGACATAGTGGACAAGTTGAAGATCCAATATACCTTCTCGTGACGTGATAGATTGAAGCCGAATATTGAACCACCGATCACCGCAGTTATCGAAGTGACATCACACGTGATCCGAAAGACGCAGTACTCTGAAAGCGAAGCATATAGAATATTAGTGTTGAATCTTCTGATAATAACAAGATAGTATACGAAGTATAAGTCAAAATTACTTATCTTAATCCCGGCAACAATACAAGACCCCAAAGGACCTTGAAACTCGGACCAAGTCTTCCACGCCTCTATTC